GAGCACCGCAACCCTAGAGTCGGACTCGACTGGCTTTCGAGCAAGGGAACCTTTACCTTTACCAGCCACCTGCATAGCCCAGGTCAGCCTGATCTTATCGGCTCTTGGAAGTTAAGCAGGTTCAGGCCTCGTTCGTGCTTGGACGGGAGACCACCAAGGAATCCCAGGGTTGCTGTGGGGAGGAAGGCAATGCCAAACTGCCTCTGCTCCCCTCTTGCCTTGCATACCCTGTTCTAGAGGGTGGCTATAAGTTGCTTGGGGTTGTGACTGCCCTTGGTGGTGGTGGTGGTGATGGCGAGGATGATGATGATGATGACTGGGTCCCATGCAATGTTCCCTCTAAGCTGTGGAGTCTTGTGAGCAAAGATTCCACTACTGGTGAGCGACTGGCATTAAAGTTGTGAGCGAGCGATGTGGCCTCTGCATAAATTAGTTTGCTCTGGAGCTGTCCTTCTCTGAGCGAAGACAAAAATGTGTGAGCTGGAGGCTAAAGAACTGTGAGCTAGCTCACACTAACTCAGCTTAGAGGGAACACTGGTCCCATGTTGTTTTCCCCACCTGAGAGCCAGTTTGGTGCAGTGGTTAAGTGCGTGGACTCTAATCTGGGAGAACCGGGTTTGCTTCCCCACTCCTCCACTTGCACCTACCGGATGACCTTGGGCAACCCATAGTTCTGGCACACCTGTCCTTGAAAAAGAGCAGTTTCTGTCAAGAGCTCTCTCAGCCCCACCTCCCTCACAGGGTGTCTGTTGTGGGGAGGGGAAGGGAAAGGAGATTGTCAGTCGCTCTGAGACTCCAAGTGAAGGGCGAGGTACCAATCTAACCTTTTCTTCTGCTTCTGAGACTCCTACCCATTTTTAGAGCAGCAGTACTGAAGTGTAGTTCTTTCAGTTGTGACTGCAGGTGTAGCCACAGCACAGGCATCTCCAATAAAAGCCCAAGGGATGCCTTAGCGGACATATAACAGTCTGTCTGAGACTCCAAGTGAAGGGCAGGGTTATCAATCTAATCTTTTCTTCTGCTTCTGAGACTCCTACCCTTTTTTAGAGCAGCAGTACGGAAGTGTATTTCTTTCCGTTGTGACTGCAGGTGTAGCCACAGCACAGGCATCTCCAATAAAAGCCAAGGGATGCCTTAGCGGACATATAACAGTCTGTAGTAGTCTTTTGTGGCCATATTGGCTACAGTTCAGCCGTCATATTTTGACAGCCACCTCCTCAACTTTTATCTTGCAAGATTCAGCAAGCCTGTCTTTGAAGGAGCCTCAAACACATTCAGAACTGGGTGTAACACTCAACTACTTCTGTATTGTGTACATTAAACTGAAGTGCGTGTTACTGGGGTGCAGCTTTTACCGCTCAGGTG